ATTTCTGCAAAACCAGCAGCTGAAGGCTTCAAAGCATTCATGAAAAGGCGAAGCACATGCATTCAGAAACTGATTGAAGCATATCGAAGCAGGGAACTAGCAAGGCAAAATAGGAAGACAAACTCCACAAATACGCAACCACATGTGCACAGAGCTACTCCACATACATTAGTATCACTGGAGCACTCATACCAGATTCCGAAGGTTCTAGGGCATGGGCAGGAACGTATAAGCCTATCTCAGCCCGTCAGAACCTACCACTTATCCTTATCACCAGGTCACCAATGACACGTAAAGGATTTGATGGATCAGCAGTTCCCAAAGTATCTCTCCTCTTTGGTTTCTCTGCAGAAAAAAGCTGTCTGCGGCAGCAAGTTTGTGTAGAAGTAGAAATACACAGGTCATTCTCACGCCTTGGGCTGTGAGTTTCCGAAGATTTGGCTGCACGCCATTAAACTTAACGTCTACATTAGCGCCTGCAAAGGAGCTGTTGTTCAAGATGGCGGAGGCTTGGAAAATGGTTTGGAGCTCACTCGGCCTTAGGTTCATCAGCTGCGCCTTGCTGTGTTCCCATGGATTTCTAAACTTGGAAGCAGAAATTGTCCAACCTGGCCCAAGCTATCTGGCAATATATATATATATATATATTTATTGTAAAATATATAAATATATATATATATATTCATATATATACCTGAGAAGGGAGATGACTAAAGCCAGCCTCTGGCTTAGGGGGTGCCCTCAGCGTAGGCCCGGGCAAAGACTTGCGGCGCAAGAGGAAGTGATGGGGCAACATCGGGCAAAGATCAATTTCATGGGGCGAGGTGACATCGCAGCCACACTGATAGGGGGTATAGAAAGCTATTCAGGACCTTCCGCCTCCAACGCTTGCCCGCTGCAATCTCTTCTCTCTTCTGCCCTCAACAACCCCCCAATCCACGTGAACTCCCACCACATAGGGAGCGCCCTCTTCAGTCCGGTTCTCTCGCAGGCCCTCAACAGATGGCCTCATGCACCCCATGTGGGGCGCCCTTTTCAATCCAGCAACTAGACCTTGCTAGGGGCAAAAAAGGGCACGCCTAAGCTCTTCAGGACCTTCCGCCTCCAACGCTTGCCGGCTGCAATCTCTTCTCTCTCCTGCCCTCAACAACCCCCCAATCCACGTGAACTCCTACCGCATAGGGAGTGCCCTCTTCAGATCGGTTCTCTCGCAGGCCCTCAACAGAGGCCTCATGCACCCCATGTGGGGCGCCCTTGCTACGGACAAAAAAAAGCTATATCAGCTATTCAGGACCTTCCGCCTCCAACGCTTGCCCGCTCCAGTCTCTTCTCTCTCTTGCTCCCAAAACAAACGCCCAATCCACGTTGAACTCCCACCGCCTGGGGAGAACCCAATTCAGTCCGGCAGCAACGCTAAGCTTGGCCGCAACTCCATGGCCTCCTGAGCCCCTCATCACCCCCAATCCACGCGAATTCGACGGCAAACGGAACGCCCTCTTTGGTCCGGTTCTCTTGCATGCCCTCAACAGATGGCATCACGCACTCCATATGGAGTGCCCTTCTGAGTCCAGTAACTAGACCTTGCCACGGAGAACTAGACGACCGTTGGCCCAAGAGCGAGATAGGTGAAGTTGTCCAAGAGCCATGACTTCTTTATACAATCTGCTATTGAGTAAGAAAGTAGATAAAAAATATTAAGAGAAAAGATATGTAGAAAGAGAGAAAGAGAGGGCGGATGTGAAGGAGTGACAGTGTGAATGCGCAGATGTGCGGGTGTGTGGAGGTAGAGAGGTAGATCTGCGGATGTGAGCGCGCGAAGATGTAAATGTACAGAGGCGAGGGTGTGTAGACGTAGATGCGCAAATGCAACGCCAGCGCAACGTCGTGGGTCAGGAGCGCCAACCTTGGTGCATTTCTCGCTGCGCAAGCACAGCGCTGAAGAGGTACGAATCAAACTGATCTATAGCACCCCAGCGACACGCCACGTTTACACCAGGTGTTTCGGCTCCCCAGTGGACGGCGCCACGCAAACGCACTTCCCACCAAGGCCGCGCAAATCCGCATGGCACTGCGACATCACGGCCGTAAATTCGCCACACAGTCTGCCCGCACACTAGAAGCAATCCTATCACACGATACCGCCAATCGTCCCGCTCACCAGCGACACGGCGCGTTTACACCAGCATGTTTCGCGCTCCCCAGTGGCACGGCGTCACGCAAACTGACGTAATTTCGCCGCACGGTCTGCCCACACACTAGAAGCAATCCTATCACACGATACCGCCAATCCTCCCGCTCACCAGCGACACACCGCATTTACACCAGCACGTCTCGCGCTCCCCAGTGGCAAGACGCCACGCAAACGCACTTTCCACCAAGGCCGCGCAAATCCGCATGGCACTGCGACATCACGAACGTAATTTCGCCACACGTTCTGCCCACACACTACAAGCAATCACGTCGCACGATACCGCCAATCATCCCGCTCACCAGGGACGCGCCGCGTTTACACCAGCGTGTTTCGCACTCCCCAGTGGCACGGCGCCACGCCAACACACTTTCCACCAAGGCCACGCAAATTCGCATGGCACTGCGACCGCCAATTCAGCAGCGACACGCCGCTTTTACACCAGCATGTTTCGCACTCCCCAGTGGCACGGCGCCACGCCAACGCACTTTCCACCAAGGCGCAAATCCGCATGGCACTGCGACCGCAGATTTAGCAGCGACACGCCGCGTTTACACCAGCATGTTTCGCTCCCCAGTGGCACGGCGCCACGCAAACGCAATTTCCACCAAGTCCGCGCAAATCCGCATGGCACTGCTGCGACATCACGGACGTAATTCGCCGCACGGTCTGCCCACACACTAGAAGCAATCCTATCACACGATACCGCCAATCGTCCCGCTCACCAGCGACACTCCGCATTTACACCAGCACGTCTCGCCGTCTCGCGCTCCCCAGTACGACGCCACGCAAACGCACCTTCCACCAAGGCCACGCAAATCCGCATGGCACTGCGACATCACGGACGTAATTCGCCACACGGTCTGCCCACACGCTCGAAGCAATCCTATCACACGATACCGCCAATCATCCCGCTCACCAGCGACACGCCGCTTTTGCACCAGCATGTTTCGCGCTCCCCTGTGGCACGGCGCCACTCAAACGCACTTCCCACCAAGAGCTCGCAAATCCGCATGGCACTGCGACATCACGAACGTAATTCGCCAGAGGGTCTGCCCACACACTAGACACATCACACTAGAAGCAAACACTTCTGAGTCCAGCTCCGCAACCCTTTCCCGTAGTACATTTGCACTACAAACTGGCCATTTCTGAGTCCAGCTCCGAAAAGGTCTTTCCTGCACTACATTTGCACTAGAAACTGGCCACTCCTGAGTCCAGATCCAAAGCAGCTCTTTCCCGTACTACATTTGCACTACAAACTGGCCAGGTCTGAGTTCAGCTCCGAAAAAGCTTTTTCCCGCACTACATTTGCACTACAAACTGGCCACTTCTGAGTCCAGCTCCGAAAAGCTCTTTCCCGCACTACATTTGCACTACAAACTGGCCAGCTCTGAGTCCAGCTCCACAAGTGAAGCGCCAAGTCTTCAAAATGAGCGTTTCGTACCAGACGCCAGACTTCCTCCAAAAGTGAAACGCCAAGTCTCCAAAACCAGCGTTTCGTACGAGATTTCCTCCAAAAGTGAAACGCCAAGTCTCCAAAACGAGCGTTTCGTACGAGACTTCTTCCAAAAGTGAAGCGCCAAGTCTCCAAAACGAGCGTTTCGTACGAGACTTCCTCCAAAAGTGAAGCGCGACTAGTTCACCTGCATTTCGCGCCCTCGACACGGGCGATCTCCGCAGAGGGTTGCGCGCGACCAATCCAAAACGCAATCTCACCTGTGTTCCGCGTCCTCGGCGCGCACGATCTCCGCAAGAGGGTTGCGCGCAACCAATCCAAAACGCAATCTCACCTGCATTTCGCGCCCTCGACACGCACGATCTCCGCAGAGGGTTGCGTTTCGCGGTGCTCCGGCGGCACCGCCCCCGGCCTTAAGAGAGAAAGAAAAGAAGAGCGAATACGCAGATGTGAGATGCGCAGATGTGAAGATGTGAGGATGTAGGTGCGCAGATGTGAAGATGCGCAGATGTGAAGATGTGAAGATGAGCAGAGATGTAGATGCGCAGATGTGAAGATGAGCAGAGATGTAGATGCGCAGATGTGAAGATGAGCAGCGGTGTAGATGCGCAGATGTGAAGATGAGCTGAGCCGTAGATGTGCAAACGCAGATGCGCAGATGTGAAGATGTGAAGATGTAGATGAGTACAGATGCATTTTTGCGAAAAACCCTTCGCAGACGCTCTCGCGAAAAAAGAGCCCCCAAGCGCAATCCTCCCACCACATAGAAAATGTGCCCTCTTCAGTCCGGTTCTCTTGCAGGCCCTCCCTCGTGACGCTGATGATGCGCTCTTCGCCGTCAATTACATCACCGGCATCGCAACACCCCTCAGACCACTCGTTTCTCACTACCAAGTGGCCCACCTCTTTTTTGCGCTCTCCCCCACCAGGCTCTGGGCTCACCTCTCCGAAATTGGCCACCTCGCGACCACCCCCCCCCACACCCCCTTTACTCACTTCGTTCGCTCCAAGAACTTCAAGCCTTGCCTATCGGCTGGTTTTCGTGATATTTACAGTACTGAAAGACACGCAAACAAGCACTGTGCTTGATGCGTGTATATCATTCCAGCAAAGTGAGGACCCCACTATTGAATCGCTCGCCTGGCGGGTCACTTGATTGCACAACACACCTTCAACAATTGAAACGCGACTAGCCTCGAAAGGGCTACAGTGGCGATCACAAGGACTGCCAAGAGGCCCATGGCAATGGCACTGTGTTCCTTGAGATACCTCCAGGAGCACCATTTTCACTCATTTGCCACCCAGAGAGAATCAACGAACTTTCTGCAGCGCAATGAATCCAAATCAAGCTGCGCAAAAGCATCTTCAGCGTAAGGAGTGACCAGCATGCCAATCATCAGCGCCACTCCCATGATGGTAGATCCGATGCCTGTGATTTCTAAACATATCAACTCCATCTACAAGCTTCTATACACCGCCATGTGTGAGCAAAAGGTGAAAGGAAGTGGTTGGTCGCGATGATTTTGTGAGACCTCGCGCCGTTGACCGGACTACGCAATCCTCCTGCTGTCTTGATTTAAAACACAAGACCCGGATGCATCACCACTGGCCTGTGGAGCGTGCGTAGTTGATTGGCTTGAAGTACTCTCTGAAAGGCAGCCTTAAGAGAGAAAGTCGAATCCGCCACAAAAAACCTTGTTGGAAGGACTCCCTTCAGAACGTAGTGACCACCACGCACCCGACTCTTTGGACTGGCCACTCACCTAACCCACCCAACCAGCAACTTTGCCAAGCAACTTCTTTTCCTTCGGCTGCAAGGTAAAGCCTCGCCACTCGTTGCATGGAGAGGAGATGATGCCTGGCAAGAAAGCAACCAACGCAAGTTGCCGGAATCTCTATTCAAACATCTCTGAAGCTTCCAAAGGCTCTTTTGCGCAACTCAGCTGCAGGATGCCCAAATTGTGAGGCCAAACACCATGGCCTCGGAGTCAAACTAAGCTTCTAATTACAGCCTTCTGCCCATCATGTTCTTTCTGCTTCTCCATCTTTCTGAGTCCTTTCTTTTTTGGATCCTTGTTTCGTTTCGCCACCCACTCTCTTCTGCGCACGCCTTGTGAGAGAAGAGTTCTGGGGCGAAAAGATCTTGGAAAAAGGTACCAACAAGGCCACGAGCCCAGCCGTAGATGATATCACGAGCGACGGTTGGGACCTCAAGTGGCACTTCAAAAATATGGCAAGGGGAGACAACAAAAGAATGCTGCTGATAAGCTCTTCACGTATGCTTGGTACAGAAGGGATGCCTTGATCTCCCAGCCCATGCTCTTCCGGAACCGGTAATTTGTCACCTTATGGGCGCCACATTTCTTCCACCCTGCTCTCAGCCTCAGCCTTTCTCCTTTATAGAATGCTTTTGAGGCTGCGGCAGGAAGCATGATGGTGCAAAAGAAGAACCCACTGATTGTTCCACCTTGCCAACTCGCAGTGCGTTGATTGGTTTGATGAGGCAAGGACACGACCAGACCAAGACTACTAAAGGCGTGCTACGCCACTGATGCTCGCAGAAAGTCCACTGAAAGCCATCGCACGGTTGATCACTTCAAAGACAGGGAACTTGAGCCTCAGTTGTCAGACTGTCCGGCGTGCAAAGACCAGGAAGCAGTACTGTACTTAGACTTACGTCTTACCTCCATCCACAGCGCTCATTTCACATGAAACCATGGCTGTTTGAACAGCTGCCGCCTGCCTTTTTGATCATAAGATCACTCAACTCGGATCGCTTGGGTTGGATTCCAGATCGAATGTTTAGAACTAAGGCGGCCGAAGGTGGAAGGACACCAGAGGTTGAGGGACCTCGAAGATCCGCGGTAATGCCCAAGGAGAGGCCCAACTCCCCCACAGGCTCCTTGACTCTACAGTCGATTCCCAACGCTAGAAGAAAAGAAAAGGGCCTGAAGAGCTTTGCCGAATGGATGCGATTGACGAGATTGCCGAGACTCAAGGACAGGAAGAATTCGATCAGCTTGAGAAAGAAGAGATGGCACGTCAACTACAACACCTGATGCAGGAGAACTGTCGGTTGAAGTATGGGGCGCCCGGTCTCTGCTTCTTGACAAAGTCTTGAGAGGAGGCGGGCGCTATGAGGTGAGCAAACGACGTACCTGTAGGAAGAAAATTGGGCTCTCAAACAGGACCTACAGCCAGCGACCACAACTCTCCAGGAGAGGGGGAACGAAGAAGAAGAACAAGGAGGAAGAAGCGGAAGAAGAAGAAGAAGAATGTCTCTTTGCCATTCTCAACAGAAGCTCACGAGGGGTTCGTGTTTCTTCCACCTGGGCTCGCCAAGAGCACACGAAGGAAGAAAGAGTAAACCACTTCAGGGGACCCTCAAAACCAGACCTTGGCCATCATCCTGAAATGCATGGAAGGCGCGCAGTCTCTCCAAAAACACAAGAGTACTGTACGCTAGGGTAAGGTCGTACAGCTTACTGCCGACCACGCGTAGCAGGCGCGAGCAATCCCGCAGGACCACTGAGAAAAAGGTCTGGAGGCGGGCCACGGTGAAAAAGGAAGGGCTTGAAAACATTTTCAAATACGGGCGTCTTTGGCTCTGGCGTGCGAACGCAGCCACCAAAACTAGAAAACACTGTGTTTTGTTTTTCGCAAAACATGGTTCGATGTTCAAACTTCTTTTTTGTAAGCTTGTAAGGGTACCCCCTTCACGCAAGATGGCTTAAGATGGCCACAAGGTGCAGGTTACGCCCTGCGTGTGGCCTTGTTTCTGGTGCAACAACAACAACAACAACAACAACAACAACAACAACAACCACAACCACAACCGCAACCGCAACCGCAACCACAACCACAACCACAACCACAACCACCGCCGCCACCACAACAACAACACTCACCTGTTTGCCCCTGCCACCTGCCACTGCACCCCCTGCTGGCCCGCAGTTGGGCGTAAGCCCCAGAAATGACAAGAGCCACGATGGATATGGTACTTCGGCTCAATGGCTAGCACACCGTCACCTACATCGCGCTGGTACGAATCAAGGCCATGAGTTTGCTGGCCACGACTGGATGAGGAGGAGAGGCATGGCTGTCACCAATCAGGACAGCAGGCGATGAGCCGCAGCCGAATGGAAGAGTTGAGACGACCGTCAAGATTGAAGGATACGATTCGTCGAGCCCTATCAGCCCTATATCGCAAGCAGAACAAGGAGCACGCCAGTGGCGCTGGGCTGAAATGTGGAGGCGCCACCGCATCTAAGAAAGGCGAGTTTACGCAGGATGGCCTGGCGTAAAGCCAGACGATGCGTCGATCACTGCCCGAAGAAGGTCACTGGATTGCCATGGAAAGTTCAGGACTCTTGGGTGGACTATCTTTATAGGGAGGTACTTGCAAGCAAAGCCACCGTCAAGAAGATTTGAGGACAGGGACGCAGAGGGGGTCAGGCTGAGTTTAGGACAAGTGTGAAGTTGTGTTCGCAGAAGAAATGACGAAAGCGTGTCTCCTCACCCTAGAGAAGCTGAGGAAGCTGAGGAGGGTGAAAGAGAAAGAAGAAGAGGACAAGGAAGAGACCCAAGATAGCGTCACCAAAAAGAGGTGACTGGTGAATGAAAAAGTGATCCTTTCCGCTTTGAGGGAGGTGAGCTCCCTCATCGTCAACAAGCATGCTCTGCGACCGATCGGGAAGGAGAAGGTACAACGCATAATTGAGGTAACAAAGGCACGGGGGTGGAGGTGATTCCATCAACGCTCGCAGTCACCAAGAAGCCTGGGAAGAAAGGAGGAAAGAGAAAGGTGAGATGAGAGATTTGTGGGTCTTGTCCGGAGCTGAACGATTCACAGCTGCTTTCTCCAAGCTGGTTGGAAAAATGGCAAAGAGCGCCGCCGCCGCCAATCTTGCAAAGGCAAGGGCCTTGGTTCCTATATCTGCGAGCATTTCGGGGCCAGGCCCAAACCCAAACATGTTCAACGATCGCCTGGTTGGCGAACGCGGGCTGTTCGCGCGACCTGTCCCAGCCTGTGTCAAATCTGGCTGATAAGGTCTTTCAGGAAGATGACTCCGACTGACTCTCCTGCCACCATTGTTAGGCTCACATTCGGCAGTTGAGAGCGCCACCGTCCTCTGTTTTCTGGCCCGCGGGATGGGATTCATCTCCTCTTCGTGTCACGGCTTCATCCTTGCTTGGTGATCGCTGACCGCCCAAGACGAAGAGGACAAAACTGCGGCAACATCCATCGCAGGGCAACCGGCGAATGGTTCACTACTCACTACTATTACAAAATCGGCGATGACGAGGACGACGACGACGACGACGACGAGGAGGAGGAGGAGGAGGGGGGAGGAGGAGGGGGAGGAGGAGGGGGAGGAGGAGGGGGAGGAGGAGGAGGAAGAAGAAATAGAGCACCAAAGAGACCAAGGAATGCCAGTCCTTCACCACGCGCTGTGGCCGAGCGCACCATCAGAGAAGGGACTGAGACTATCTGACCGCTCCTCGGCCTCGCGAAAGATGATGCCCACGGTGTGTGCAGAGTGCTGGAAGTGAGCCTGTGGACGAGTGCGTTGTCCAAATCTTGCCTCACATGTGCTTTGACTCGCTCCCTTCACCAGATGCGCTACCAACCGAGAAGGCAGTTTGAGCCAGAAAGCTTAAAAAGGGGCTGACCAAGGTGGTCTTGGAAAGGCCAAAGTGTTGAAAGGAAGAAAGCTGGCTTCACCTACTGGAGAGCCAAAGGGGGCAGTACGGAATACGTGCTCCTCATGTCACATCAAAGCATGGCTGTTTGAACAGCTGCCCTTTTGATCATAAGATCACTCAAGTCGGATCGCTTGGGTCGCGGAAAAGGTTCGATCGGCAGCTGAAGGAATTCTCTTGCTCATTAGGTTTGCGCCACGCTCTGCTCAGACATCAATCAACTGCCCAGCAAATGCTTGCAATCCACAACTCTGGTCGTGCTCATCCACTTGCCACTCACTTACACCAGCAAGTGGCATGTTGGTTGGGAAAGTGGTCAGGAAGAAGCCAGCCACCAATGACAGGGTCATCTCATTCCATGCCTGTCAAGGAAGCAAGGGCAGCAGTCTTCCCAAATCCACAGGAGAGTCAGGAGAGTGTGTTTGCCTTCATCGTGCCATTTTCATCGTTTCTGCTGCTTGCAGCAACGCCTACCTACATCACCCACCTGAGCAACGGTCATTCGCTTCACCAACAAGCGATTCACCTGATTACAAGGGTAATGCTGGAAACCTACAATCATCCAAATGCATAAAGGCATCTCAAAGGCATCACATGCCATGACTTGTTGCAATCCAGGGGTCCAAGGGTTCGCACATGGCAGACAGAATTGCTGCCACGAAAGCAGCCTGAGCGGTGATTCAGCAACTCTCGCTGAAGAGTTTGTCAATTCAGCATAGCAAGCATTGCATGGGGCAGAGAGAAGGAGGGGGAAAGAGTTGAAAAGGAGGCATGGGATCAGTGTCTTGATTCTTAATGTTTTTCATCTCCCTGTGAAAGTCTCTTTCTCTGCAAATTGTCCAAAACTCGTATAGGATGCACAACAGGATGCGGTGCAGCCCTGTGCGGCGGCTGCAAACACCTGCACTGGAAACTCTTGGTACAAAACCACGGTCGCCATGGTCTTTATAGATTGACGGTTGTGCTTGGGCCTTCAGCAATTGCTGACCAATTCGGACCAATTGTTTGCCTACTTCTTGTCTCGCTGAGAGAATGGTCTCCCAATCTACTCTTGCTCGACTTCCAGCCTTGCTGAAGAAATTATCGCCTTCATCTTCTGCTTCCTCCGCCACTACAAGAGCCCGCGGGAGTTCATTCGGAGCAGACCAAAGCTCCCTGCACAGGAACTCTCAAGTTCTCAAGTAAAAGATTCCAACATATTCCAGCACTTGCTTGAATCCAACCAGAAGACTTCCGGAACTCATCGATCATTCCATTGGTGACTATGAAGCAAAGGTGCAGCAAAGCGCAGACCGCTGCAAACAGAAGTAGAATCCCGCCACTAGAACGTTGACCAGCCTGGCAGAATCATGAAAAGCACAGCACAAGAGTTCTTGTGTTATATAATAGTTCCACACCACCATCTCAAGATCCTTCCGTTGTTCACAAAATGAAGTGAATGCAAATACAAGTCAAGAAACCATACTGAAATAGGGAGGCAGCTGGCTTTGAGCCCAATTACAGCTGCAACAGGCTGCTGTGCAGTGTCTCATCTGAAAGGAATTTGACAGAGCTGAGTGTTACAATGCACCTACATCGACGACTATCTCACATCGCTGCACCGGTAAAAGAACAGCCTGTTACTACTAGTAAGGCACTTGTTTCTAATAGCTTCTTGTTCCTAGTAGCGTGGCACCTGTTACTAGTAGCGATGCACTTGTTTCTAGTAGCTTCCTCTTGCTGGGCACTGCTTTGCATCCGATTCGGAATGCAATGCCTGTTCCATTGCCATTGAAGGGCCGAGTGGTAAACCATCCAAGCTCTGTGAGCTCTGCGAGCAGCGGCATTGCGCCAACAAAGCTTCTCTCAGATGCCAGGCTTCCGGTAAATGAACACAGGCCTTGCAACTGGCAAGCCGGATACAAGACGCAGCAGCGATGCAATCCATCTTGGAGGACAGCATTGCAAGAAAGGCACGTATTGCCCGAACCAACTGTCCGATAAGGCGCCTTCCCACTGTTCAGGCTTTTAGCTGTTTACATCACAAAAAACGTGGGAAACAACAGGAGTAATCCGGCTCTGCCTGGCGGATGAACTGAAGTGCACTACTTCTGGAAGGATCTAACAAAGGCCGACCAATAGACGCGATACGGGTTCCAGGCTGTGTCCTGCAACTGAGGCAGAAACTATCCACAGGTATACCGCGGTATGCACATCATGTCCAGTAACTGCACCGCAAAGGTTCGATGCGAAACACAGGTACATTGCTCCTAGTAAGGCCAGGAGCCCCTAGTAGCGTCCTTGCTCCTAGTAGTAAGGCCAGGAGCCCCTAGTAGCTTCTTGTTACTGAGTATTTCCACGCACCTCTCTAGGCCTTTTGCCACTTTCTCAACCCGTACATCATCCAATGCTTCACCGCTCACCAGAATGACACCGGCCTGTCGGCCATAACGCTGCCACATAAAAGGCTTTGCCGCACAGCACAAGCTGAGTGATAGTTTCTTTCTCTGATACTCACAACCACAATTTTGAGGAAAAGGACTTGCCCTATGCAGAAAGACAAAGTGACAAAGGCAACAAAGCAAAAGAATTATATATCCTTGGCAAGTTCGAAAGGCATACACCAACCTGGTTCATAAATTAAAAAAAGGCATGGTCCAATTCTTGTTCAGAGGTTTTCGCAGGTGGCGGCCGGAAGTGCTTCTAGGGTCTTTCGCAAAGGGTTGTCAATGAGAGTAACTGCATGTTCTTCGCCGCTATCGCAGACTTGGAAACAATTCGACAACCAGAGTATGGTCGATGGCAGTTTGTTGACACACATCTTGACGCCATTCAAATGTATGCTTCAAATGCACCAGTAGAGGTCAAACGCGTAAATTCTCATGCGGTCCTTTTTCTGTCGTTTCAACACCACCACAATGATCGTCCATCTCATCAAGCAATTGTGGCACAGCATGCGCAGACCGCGCCCTTGAATCTAGACTTTGGGTCATCACCATTCCATCAGGATAAGGAACTACACCGGCATGTGCTTGAGAAATACAAGTGACCCTGTAGCCTTGAAGCAAAGACCGTCAAACTGTAGCAAACAAGCGGGCTTGCCGGCCTGATGCCAGTCAGACTGCATCTCCAAAAGGCAACCATGATGAAGCAGAATTCGCTGCTGGACCTGGTATGTTACTGTAGACTACTGAATACAACGATGGCCTCCTCCTACTAGCGATGGCTTCCAACCTAATATGCGTACATACTGAAAGCAACAACCATGCCTGACCTGCTCATTCTACAGAACAGGTTCGACCCTGCTTCTCCCTGCCTCCAAGTCCATTCGTTCCAAGGCTGCATTGGCGGCCTCATGTAGATTGGTGTTGCTCTCCACACCACACGCCACACCTAGATCTGCAAAGCAATGCACAAAAGCCATTAGACTTCCAAAGCAATTCCAGAAGCCAAGTCAAAAACACATATTGCAGAGGTACAAGTATTGACGGGTATTGTTAATTATCATCTGGACCTTGCATTGGAAAGTTGGGGTCAGGAGTCCTGGCAAGTGCGTGCATACATCCCCAGGCCTCGTGGAACTAGAAGCACCCAAGCACCAACAACACGTGCCAACCCACTGGCGAGATGCAAGAGCCTGCAATGCTTGTCGTTGTCTGTTTGAAATGAGCACTGATACGATGTGCGCAAAAAAAAAGGATACAAAATTAAAGTACATCCTGTCGCTATGACACCCTAACAAAATAGTGGTGGCCTCCGGGTGTTAGAAACTACATTCACTGACTTCCGACACTGCACTGCAGGGTGCTCACAGGCAACACGATCCTATTTGGGACCAAAGCTTCGTGGGCTAGGATCTTGTGGGCCTCGGCTTCATTTAAGCTGCCAAAAATCATATATATATATATATATCAATGATTATATAATTATAATCCCCTGTAAAATTCACACGACAACCCCGTTACGGGCATGTTGCATCTACAAATGCCTCACCCCAGGTCCAAACCAACCAATCCATCCAAAAATCAAACCCCCCAAGATAGAAACCTTAAGTCTATAATATTGGGTTGGGGATTGGCCTGAGTGGGCGCAAAAAAAATTATCAGAAAAGTGGGCTCTCTATAAAATCAACCCGTCCAAGAAAAATGTTTAAACAAACATCTCTACAAAATGGGCTGTAACCCTTTTCAAAACTATGGTGGGTGGCTGCACATGCTCGAGTCAACGGATGATATAAAAATTACATCTATATGTATACAAATGGGCCCTGCCTTGCAAGTCATTGTTTTTGCTAACATGCTCAAAAATTACCCTGGTCACTGTACAACTCACGAACACCCAGGAAAGTGATTCCGTAGCAAACCAATATTTTCCCTACAAAATGGCCGTTTCCAATACAGGGGTTGACCCAATTTGTAGAAGAAATTCACAGACTGCGCAGGCTCGCAAAATCTGTTTGGCTGGAGCTGGTGCTTGTCGCGACTGCGCTCTCATAGTGGCGCCGCGCGCATTTTCGGACATGATGGTCACTTTTGGTGGCAGGCGCCAGGGAAACCTCGTGCTTTAGTAGTCCAAACTCGACTTTTCGTGACAGGCGCAAGGGATCGGAGCGGGCAGATTTCGTGGCAGGCGCAGCACTTTGGACATGGTGGTGATCTTCAACACACTTTGACTTCGCGACAGATGCAGTGAATCATGCCTTTTCTACATGTGGCAGGTTTTCAGGAACCGTGGCAGGCGCAGTACTTTGTGGACCTTCAAGTGTGGATTTCATGGCAGGCGCAGCACTATGTGAGCCTCGAAGCGCAGATTTCGTGGCGGGCGCGCAGTCCTTTGCGAACCTCGAAGTGCAGATTTCGTACTTTGTGAACCTCGAAGTGCAGATTTCGTCGCAGGCGCAGTACTTTGTGCTGTCAAATGCTCACTCTCACTCCCACTCTCGCTCGCGCTCTCTCTCTCTCTCTCTCACTCTCGCTCTCACTCACGCTCACACTCACTCCCTCCCTCCCTCCCTCCCTCCCTCCCTCACTCACTCACTCACTCACTCGCTCACACACTCACACTCACACTCATACTCTCACTCGCACTCACACTCACACTCCCTCGCTCGCTCGCACTCACGCACCACCACCAGCACCATCACCACCATCACCTCTCTGGACCCCAACTCCTCTAGATCTCTAAACTTTCTGCTGCTACATGTCCGGCGGCAAAGAAAAAAGCGGTTTGTCGTATTCTTTCTTTGCGCAACACTTGCTTACTTCCCTATTGTACGTTGTAATAAACGATTGCCACCTCTGCCTCTTTCCAAGCAAGAATGTCCGAACATGCACAAGAAATCCTCATCACTTGCTGAAGGGGGCCATAGATGCAACTTACCTTGTTCAGCACCCCCACGCGCAAAGTCACGTTGATATCCAAATGGAACACAAATTGGCACAGTGCCCTTATCCGGCTTGAGCCAGGTGAGTTCAGGTATTGGAAAGCTGTAGAGCGAAAATAACAGGGAAGCGTCTACAGAAAGAAAGGTGAGCTAATCTTAGGGGCAAAAGTTTTGTAAGTTCAAAAAGAACCCAGCATAGACCCCAGATAGCAGAACCATATTCAGTTCACGTTGTGAGGATAACCACGCGCCAGCTGTTTTGAAAGACAACGTGGGCATGGCCTATCGGTCCTTTGCATCGGAGACACATTCACGGAGAGGCGGCATGTTCGATTGAATTGGGCTCCTATTCTATCATAGTGCAAAATAAATACTCTATTTCCCCAAACAGTGTGGACACACTAGGGGTCTTACGGTAGGTGTTAAGCACCGGTGTTAGATCGAGGTGTTGCGCTGGCGCGTCCGGCTAATTCGCTGCTATTTACAATCGCGGCGGCGGCGGCAGGCGCTTGTCGTGACTGCGCTCTCGTTGTGGCGTCGCGCGCATTTTCGGACAGGCCCTTTTCGTGGCACGTTTACTTCGAAGTGCAGATTTCGTGACAGGCGCAGCACTTTGTGAAACTCGTTGCGCGAACTCCGTGGCAGGCACAGCACTTTGTCAACCTCGACGCGCAGATTTCGTGGCAGGCGCGCAGTACTTTGTGAACCTCGACGCGCAGATTTCGTGGCAGGCGCAGCACTTTGTGAACCTCCAAGAGTAAATTTCGTGGCAAGCGCAGCACTTTGTGAACCTCGAAGCGCAGATTTCGTGGCAAGCACAGCACTTGGTGAACCTCAACGTGCAGATTTCGTGGCAAGCGCAGCACTTTGTGAACCTCCACGCGCAGATTTCGTGGCGGGCGCGCAGTCCTTTGTGAACCTCGAAGTGCAGATTTCGTGGCAAGCACAGCACTTGGTGAGCCTCGAAGTGCAGGTTTCATGGCAGCTGCAGCACTTCGTGAACCTCGAAGTGCAGATTTGGTGGCAGGCGCGCAGTACTTTGTGAACCTCGAAGTGCAGATGTCGTGGCAGGCACAGCCCTTTGTGAACCCGAAGTGAAGCTTTCGTGGCAATGCTCAATTTCTCTCGCTCTGACTCTCACTCTCACTCACAGCTCACTCTCATTCACACGGCTCTCCTCTCACTCACGCTCACTCTCACACTCACACTCACTCTCACTCACTCATTCATTCACTCACTTGATGCGTGCTCTGGTGACTGTGTGCGCTCTCTAAACCGGTCTCCGGACCTCTAGACCTCCGTCTTCTTCAGACTCTTGTTTTGCACCCAGCTATTCTTTTGTCCGGTGCACCTGGCGCGGTTACACCCGGGACTCTCACTCAATCACTCATTCGCTCGCTTGATGCGTGCTCTGGTGACTGTGCTCTCAGATGTGTGCTCTCTAGACCTCTGTAGACCTCCGTCATGAGGAGAAAAAGGTCCGATATGTGCTCGCTGTGTCGCATACTTGCCTGATCTAGAAGAGGTGATTCGGACCTTGGCTTCCACACTTCCCACTCCCTTGTGCTTGCGGGCGCTTCACCTCCACCTACTAACTCTCTCTACTTCCGACTCCCCTCCTATCCTAACTTCTGTCTTGACTTCGTCCTATATGATCGCGGGTCTCTGGCCGGGATAATTTTTGGCGCATTGAATTTGTACCTATTACTGTGAAAGCTTGGGCGTGAAAACCTAAGCCTTGTGGAACCTGCGCTCGAAGTCAGGAACACGAACGAAACACGGAGGGGGTCGTGACATGCAGTGCAGTGTCTTTTCACGTGATTGCCTGTGACTCAAGGGCCCTATTCGCCCAATGAACCGAAAGCAACGCGCCACAGATCAAGATTGTGGCACAATCTTCACACCGGTGGTGTATGGCCGAAAAGCCTCATGACGGGCGGCCAACGTCCGGTTGTGGAATGAACATGTAGGGTGTCGACATCACCTGCTGAGAGCAAAAACTGCAGTAGTCCACATGTCGAATTGCCGTGGCGTTATGAACACTCGGCTCGGGACGCCGGCGAGATTGCTTCGTGCGGCCTCTGCTTGCCGTCTCACTTCTTGCAACTCTCTTTCGATCTCTGCGATCATCCTTTGGTGTCGATCAAGCTCTTGATCTGTTCGATCTTGTCTCATCTGCCTCTCTTCTATCTCTGTTCTCAGGTCCTCTATCGTGCTTCTCAGGTCTCGGTTGACCATGTTGCCTCTTCGGATGAAATCTCTGTACTGCTCGATCTTGGCTTCGAGCTTTGTAGTCTTGTCTTCCACTCGTGGTGGATTCCTTGGAGCCTCCTCTGTCTGGACTCCAATCTCTTCCATCGTCTCTTCATCATCTTCATCTTCTCTGCTTGCTTCTCCTCGCTGTCGTGGCACTTGTCGATTGCAACACCGTTGCACCCAACTCACAACTTGCAAAACACTCAGTCCAACCAGCAATGTAAAAATCAACAATGGCCAGTCCCAACCACTGTCCTCATCATTGCTAGCCAACACTGGTTGCACGCTGTTTGAAACAATCATCATGGCCAAGCTTTTCTTGGCACTTGCACTGATTGCATTTCTTCTTGAACTCTCCTTTCTCTCATGCACGCTCTTCTTCTTGGCTGCCTGAAAGGAACTGTCAGCAACCAGAGAAAACTTGTGGCTCCTCAGTCGATCGGCTAGCAACTGCCTGGCCTGGATCTTGGTGAGCCCATCCGATAGTTGCACTTCGGACGATACCCAGCGCAACTGGGTCTTCATTGACCTCATCTTCTCCTTCACAATCATCACTTCTATCTGGGTCCTTTTGTCGCCGCTGATCTGCGGAACTTCTGACTTGATGGCATCATATAGTGCCTTTGCGTCCACCACCAATGCACTCTGGAGGAAGCGCAGTCCACTCCTTTCTTCGCTCTTGGCATTGTTGAGCTGAAAGTTCATCTGTAGACATGCCTGCCAGAAAATGTGCAAAAACTCTAAGGAGTCGATGGCCGCTGAGCATGCTTGTGCTTCTGCATTGAGTGAGCTCCTCGAGACTCTTGACAGCTTGTAGGACCGCCATTCTAGGATGACATAGGGTTGGTCCATTTCTCCTGTCAACATCTTCTTGTGGGCCAATAACACAAAGAAGCCACCCTGACTCAGATTGTCAGCTCGGACTCCCCATGCCGCATCGGACACTGCGACCATGCACAGATCTTGAAGTGGTCCAAGATGCTGGAATCTCACTGAGG